CGAAGGGTGATGATCTGGGGATGAGCAAATCCCAAACTGGACAGTTTCTAAACTAATTACTTGTAATTTCTGGTGGTTGTAAGTGCAGAACTATGGGTGGAGCCACCTTAAATAATATTTTGGATAACACCATATATTATCCACCTCTTGTGGGTGGACAGGGAGTTTCAATGTGGGATTCAAGCGCACAGGGGTCGGAGTTGCTTTCATAGCTGCAGTAGGTACCAGCGTGAGCTCACAGAGAGCTGTGGGTGTCCTGTGTGGAGATACCGGGAGATAGTGGAGAGTCTGATAGTCTCTTGGGAGAAAAAGGAGGTAGTAATGCAAGGTGATGCAGAAATGAGAAAAGGGGTGAAGAGAAAGCAGATGACGAGGCAGAGAGCCTGCCTTAATAAAGTATTACACATTGAGGTTGTGAACTGAATTGCTAGTTGCTGTTTATCGTGACCACATAAAATTCAAAGTACTTTGGTATTTAAATAGTTACAAATTCTGAGATGAGTCAGGAAGCAGAGATGATGTTTTATCCATAGCCATGTTAGTGAATGCTTTACTAATGGAAGGATCTTATTTCCACTCTCATTTTCCAATGGTTTTTCTGATCTCAGATCATTTTGTTGTAGATAAATGGGACAAAATTAATAAAACTCGTACTTCTGGGGCTGTATTATTACAGCCTTAATTATTGTCTTTTAAAAACCATACTGCTACACAGTATTGCAAAGATGTTCCAAGTTCTCACTCTCCAGAGAGAATTAACTAAGAGTTACCTTCTGGTTCTACTTCTGTAGGAAACTTTGAGGGGAATTTTTTGCTGTTGTTGGTGAATCAAGTCTCATTTTGCACATCTTTTTGCCAAGAGACAACAAATGACAACATGTCATTTGTGTGACAGGCACCGCAAGCATCTTGCACGAGGGAATGAGTCTTCAGGAGTTGAATTCTCTGTATTTCTGGGTATGGCAAGCTAGAATAGGCTGAAATTTGTGCAATAAATAGGATCAGTCGCATGAAATGTATTTTGATACAAAACTTCCCCTCTTGCCTGAAGACAGCCAGCTACTCAAGCAGCCCCTCCACCCTTAAAATAATCTGTAATGGCAAGGTGGTAGCTTTCTCTTCCCCCAAAGGAAGAGTTAAGTTTGAGAGAAGACAGATCCTTGTCCCAAGGAAAGTATTGCTGATGTTAGAATCAGGGACCCTGAACAGAGGCTGCTTTAGGAAGATGCATGTTGAGGATTGTTAATGCTGAAGAGGGGACTGACTCATCACATCATCAATTCTGCTCCTCTGCCAGTACATCACAAAACATCTTTTATCATCACACTCTCTCTTTCTTCTTCATTTCTTTTTTAAAGGGGTTTAAAACTGTTCAGTGTTCTTCCCCTTTTCCAGCCCATTGCTGTTCTCCTGGTGGTGGTTACAATTTGGGGTGATGAAGCCCACGTTTGCCCTGTGCAGAAGGACTCTTCCCATCCAGGCATTCTCAAGAAGAAACCAGAGGATGAATTTCTTGGCTTCTAGCTCTGAGTTGCATACATACCCCTTAGCTGTAAGAGAAGTAAGCTTTCCCATCTGAGTCCTTTTTTCTTCTTTTGCTTGTCTTAATCCCTCCTTTCTCTTTGCTGCGGAAAGCACTGTTTATCTTAACAGGGACAGCAAGAACACTCTGGCCACATAATTGCCATGAAGGCTACAGCATGGTCCAGACGGTACCAGTTTGCAATGATGTTTTTCTGGAGCATGCCAACAACCAGCGGCTGCTGCGAGAGCTGAAATTGCTGCTTTTTTTTCTGTTCACATCTGCATTTGATTTTCAATCAGAGTTGGTTGGTGAAAAGCCAACTAATCTACAGGGCTTCCAGCGTTTTTTGTTTGTTTTTTAAGGGGCTGGTTTGAGCCAAGTTTAGTACCACAGAACTGGTTTTTAATAGACACCCCCCCCCCCCCCCCCCCCCCGGAATTATAAATGCTGTTGGATACAGACTATTTCATATGGATCTTATAGGAAAATTATCATTCACCATTATTTCTTTGTATTAGTGTCTTGTGTATGACAGTTACAAAGGGACAGAGCTTTCTGTGCCAGGTGCATTACAGCACACAACAGAAGGGCAAATCACGTATCCAGGACCTGTTGGTCTCAGGGATGCTGCTGGGGAGATGGGTGTTTCCGGCTTCGTGCTCTTCATGGAGTCAGGAAATCAGAGAGGTTTGACTTTGTGAGAACTAGTGGAGGAATTTCCACAGGTTTGCATGAAACTCCTGACATTTTGTTTGGGCTGGTGTCACATTCTCTTCCATTTGCTGCTGTTGTGGCAGATAAAGAATTGGTTTTGTATTGAAGATCACAGAATCAACGAGGTTGGAAAAGACCTTTAAGATCATCAAGTCCAACCGTTCTCCAGCACTACCAAGGCCACCACTAACCCATGTCACTGACGGCCTCATCTACACGGTTTGTGAACACTTCCAGGGATGGTGACTCCAGCACTGCCTTGGGCAGCCTGTTCCAATGCCTGACTGCCCTTTGGGGAAGAAATTGTACCCAATATCCAGCCTAAACCTCCCCTGGTGCAGCTTGAGGCTGTTTCCTCTTGTCCTATCACTTGTTACTTGGGTGCATGAAAAGTCATTCTTTAGTTAGAAACTTCAAAGGAACAGGAAAAGAATCCATCTGCGATTCAACAATCTTAAGCTTTGGGGGACAAATCTGGTACCAAAAAGAGGAAAAGATCTTGGATCATGGAGTTTTCACCTTTTTTTAAGGCAATTTTTCTGTGAATTACAGTAACAGAAGGCACTGACCTGTAACTAGCACAGTCTGCAGCAGGACTTCTAATATTGCTTGCTGTCCTTTATTTATCTAAGGCTCTGTTTGATATGTAACACGCTTTTAACAGAATTTGTTGAGCTAAACATACAGTTACAGTTGAAAGGTGCTGAACTAACAACCCTCTGAAACTGGTTTTCTCATAGTGTGGGGGACATCAGCTGGGGGCACTGGCTAGATGAGGAAGGGAGCAAATTAATTGTGCTGACGAAGCAAAAACATAAAAGGTAAAAGTAACTGATACAATTCAACAGTAGTCCTGTGAACCATTAATTCTCAGATCTCAGAGCTTTGTACCTAAATTTTGATGTATGCTAGTGCAAAATCAGTGTAAATATCTATCTTGGTCAGCCTGGGGTTTTGGGGGTTTTTGTTTTGTTTTGTTTTCGAATTGTTTAATACATATTTTCTCTAGTTGTTGGTTTTTCAATTAAAGGTGTAGGCTTTTGTGATGAAAATCCACGAGTCGCATCCCTCCTCTACCTTTTTCTATTAGCAGGCATGATGTACTCACTGCAGTAGTTTTAGCTTGTAGAGAACTGGTATAGTTTAAAATACTAAATGGTGTGTGGTGGTAAGGTGAAGTACAACCTCCAGCAAGTCCATCCCTTCTTCTGCTTTGTGGCCAAAGCTATTGAAGAGTCCCTTGATAATGGACAGCCCAGAGCTGTCTACCATTCTTTTGTGGTTAGTTGTATTTAGCCATCAAAGATACTAACTGAAGAACTGATATTACCTGCACTGATTTCTCACCTACCTTTGTAAAGAATACGAGAATGATTCGTGTCAAGAACTTAGGAATCATTGTTACCAATGCACCTGTGACCAGTGTACCATGTGTGGAATGTATAAAAATGACCTTGATTATAATAAATGTTGCTGTCAATGTAATGATGGGAAAGAAGAAACAAGGGAATAAGCTAGTCCCCTCTTTAATCATTTAGACTGTTAAAACAATAAGGAATGCTTTTAGCTTTAACTGCTTGAATGCTTTAAGGGGGTTAGGTAACCAAGGAGACACATCCTGTTAAATATATGGGTCTAAGATTGTGGTTAAGCTTGTGATAGACATCTTTCTGTTAATGTATTACCGAGAAGTTTCAGTATGTTTCTTTAGCTGGAGAGAAGACCCCAGGGTCAGAAGCAGGGTCAGAAGATGGGACAGAAGCAAATGAAAAGGAGCCACATCAAGTTTCGGGCAAAGAAGACAACAGGATTGGCTGGAACTCAAAACCAGGAACTGAAATCCTGGACCGAGAGGTATAAGAGATGTACCCCAAAAACCCCAGTGCGCATTGTTGGTGGAGTGGAGACTCCCCGCGCGCCCAGTGCTGCTTATTATTGCCTCTTGATATTAATCAATTGTAATGAAATAATTAAATCAGATCATGGCCAAGACTAAATTTTTATAACACCTTCAGTTTTCTGAGTCAGTCCCAGTGGACTGCATGGGTGAAAATATGCGATAATTGGAGGCTGTGCGTGCAGCTGCAGTGTTCTTTAGGCAGCTGATGAAATCTGGCAGCCCTGTTCGTGTTGGGTATTAAATACTGAGGGGAGCTGGATGTGCTGGTGTGTGCATGCTTGGGGCTGACACCATGTCGTGGTTTAAAACCAGGCAGAGCTCCTTCATTCACTCCCCCCCTCTTCTTGCCCTCCCCCTACTCCCGGTGGGACAGAGAAGAGAATCGAAAAGAATGCAACTCCCACGGGTTGAGATAAGAACAGTTTAGTAACTAAGGTATAACACAAATCACTATTGCTACCACCAATGATAACAACGATAAAGGAAATAACAAGGGAAGAGAATACAACACCTCAGCACCAGCTGACCGATAACTCGCCCCCCAAGCCCGACCAAGCTCCGACCGATACCTCCTGCAACCCTGCAGTCTCCCAGCACTTCCGGGTCCCTCCCAGTTACCTCCTGGGCATGACATGCTGTGGTATGGAATAGCTCTTTGGTCAGTTTGGGTCAGGTGTCCTGTCTCTGCTTCCTCCCGGCTTCCCCTCCTCCCTGGCAGAGCATGAGGCTCACACAGTCCTTGGCCAAACCAAAACATCATTGTTATCGGCTCTGTTCCCAGGCCGAAAGTCAAAACACTGCACTGCACCAGCTACCAAGAAGGAGAAAAATGACTGCTACTGCTGAACCCAGGACACACCATCCAGCAGACTGACAGGCTGTTCTCTACTTGATGTGGAGAGTGGAACACACAGAACTTTAAATCTCTGCCTGTTTCAGTCTTTGGGGACATTTTCAGGGAGTTTGGGTAGTTTGATCTGCCTTCTACATTGTGAATAATGTCACCAATTGCTGCCTTCTCTGCAGCACCTAAAAATCTTCCTCTTGATATAGTTTGCTCTTACATCTAGTATATTTGCCTGCATATCTGACCTAGACACAGGATAAGCAAATTTAGGTATTTAATTTAAATCTCTTCCCTTCCTCCATGCTTGGCCTTCAGAAAATGGTTTTGGTTTTGGGTTGTGTTTTTTTTGTGAAGGAAGGAAGGAAAAGCACTGAACTTCTGTTTACCTCATTTTGTTTGAACAGAGCCCTGTGTGTTAACCCTCTGCCGCACAATGAAACTCTGTACAGTGAAAATTGGCTAAGTGGGTCCTTATTCAGCGTCATTCATCACCATGGCATAGCCTCGTGCATACATGGCAGATTTACATCAGTGAAACTGAGGAAGGAAAACAAAAAGCCCATGATCTAAAAGAAGGCCTCATGTTATTTATGAAGTGCCAGTAATGTCCTGAGGACTAGATGAAGATCTAATGAGCCTTGTTCTGCAAGGGTGCTGGTGGCAGGGTGACATGCCACCGAACAATGCAGCAAAGGGGGCAACATGTTTGGCAACTTGGGGCTCCTTAAAGGCACTTTGTAGTGTGCATTTTGCACACTAGGCTCTCCACTTCAGAGGATGAGGAATGCATATGGGAAGTTCAACAGTAAGTACAGACAGTAAAATTAGTTAAAGGAAAGAGTGTTCCTATTGTATTTGCTTATTTGAAGCCTCAGGACCTTCACGAGGCCAGGAAGCCACAGTGATAGGTTCAGATCCCACTTTGCTTATTTTGTTCGAGCTAAATAAATGTCAACAAATATCAGAGGGGATGCAGAGATGAATGCAGAAATGTGCTTCTTGGAGTCTGTAACTCATTCTCCTTGAGAGGCTCAAATACATACCTTCCCTTGTGTGTCTGCTGTATTTCAGTGAGGGACCAGCAGCAGCTCCAAAGTTGTTACCCAGGAGCCCAAACCCGTAAGCCAGGCTCAGCCCAGCTTCATCAGGAGCATCCTTAGGATGCTGCTGGGCTGGGAGCAGGGTATGTGGTGTCAGCTGGTACCTGCTGCTCATTCTCAAATGAGCAAAGGTTTTTGATAGCAGTGGCAGTGCTTGCTCAACAGCCAGCGGCCAGGCCATGAGGAAGCCTTCTCTCACTCTCTGTACCCTGGTGGTTTGTGTTAAAGGAGAAATTGCATCTCTTGGCCCTGGGTGAGATGAGAGTTATTCTGGTTTCCGAGGCGTTGCTTTTTGGTGAGTGTCTCCAGCTGCTGCACTCCCCTTCACTCAGGGCACTGACTCATGCTTTTTGCCATCACAATAAGTCTGTTTTCATAAACAAAATTAAGTGCACTGTGTTTATTCATTAGGGAGAGTTGAAGTCTCTCAGCAACCAAGAAATATGCTTTGTTGGATGAACTCCTCTCCCTCTTCCACCCTCCTGTCTTCTACCAGCTAAGGGAAAAAAGAGATCTGGGACAATACCGGCCTGATGCTATCAGCGTGTTGATCCTGGCCTGCTGATGTGCAGCATGACAACTGAGGAGACAGTATTGACTCTTCAGCTGGGTTTGTACATCTCAGAGACTCAGTTTTCCAGAGAGGGATATTTAAAATTGCACAAAAGTGAACAGGAAAAAAAAGGGACAGGTTCATGAACTAGGCTTTAAGCAGCACTCCAGGTAAACACAGCACAGATGAGGGGTCTGCTTGACAGAAAGAGAAGTTTGTCTGGCATGTGGATGGCTCTGTGCCTGTGGCTCCTTCTGGTTTTGGGTAGGACTGGGCATGGGCATGGGCAGAGCCAAGCATGGAAGTTTGTCTGATGCCCCTGTGCTAGAGTCCTTGAGGCGTTGCTGCTGCTGTCCCTGTTGTGTCATCTCACCCCCAGCCTCCTCTCTCCTTCTCACAGTGGGAACACAGCTGCACCCAGCCCCTTATCCTCTGTGGGACAAATTCAATTTGCCTACAGCGCTGATGGGTTTTAAGCTGGATCTGCACCAAGGTAAGAGGTTCATGTGGCTTCACCATGCCAAGACCCCCCACTTTTGGGTGTTCCTCCTCCCTGCTGCCAAGGCTTCTGCAATTGCTGCCATCTGGGATTGCTGATGCATTGGTGACGTTGATGTTTCTTCAGTAAGGGCTGGACTAAGGCCTGCAATATAGTTTGAGAGAAAAGAAAAATCTTCCTATGGTTAAGTCTGAGATAAAAATAAATCAGATGGGAATTGCCTGAGTGAGTTCATGGCAACAGGATGGATGAAATTTTGTGACTGAAACAAGCCTTATATCAGCTCACCAAAATAGCTTTGCTCTCCAGTATATAATTGCCTGCTACCATGTTTTCCAGCGTGCCAGTATGATGGGGTACCTACTGCTCCCTTTGAAATTTGGTTTATATTATGATGCCCAAATCAGAGACTTGCAAAATCCTATCTCAAACTGACTGCATGTGTCCATTTGGGTAGATGTCATCCTGCAGCAGAGAATTTAGAAGGAATAAGCAATCCCTGACTCAATGGGGAGTAGTGAGGGTTGGCCAGGTATGATGTCACTGTACACCTAAGAGTAATTCCAGCCTCTAGAACAGTAAGATTTGGGTTTGAACCAAACAATAATAAAAAATTATTTTAATAAAACCATGTTATTCCAGAGCTGAAAATATACCTTGAATTTATATTCATAACAACTACTCAGTGGCTTCTGTATTAGTATTCAAATTTTGCATCTATTGAAGAGGAATTAAATGTGGAATTTGCTGTCTTTGCAGCAAATGTAGAAGGTATTTTGGCCATTCTTGAAATCCCACTTTCTACCACATAGCAGAAATGAAGTGAATACCTTTCACTCATGCTTTAGAGAGAACATAAATCAGAAACAAAGGACAGCAGAATAACAGGGTGGTGTTTCTCCTTCTAGAGCACCAGATACCCTGTGCCAACAGCAACAACGTTCACATGATCCGTGGTTTCCATGCCAGACAATTCTATGGGACTTGAGTGCGGCAGTTGCTTACCTTCCAGCGAGCCAGCAGCCAGTCTTCATCAGGGGTCATTCCTTGGTAAGAAATGCAGGCACTCACCTCAAACTTCATGAATCTGAGGGAGTGGAGCATGGGCATTGATCTGGAATCAGACTTCTGATAACTGGAATTTGTCCCCAGTTATTACTGCAGTTGCTGGAGCTGGGACACTGGGTAAGTCCATTCCCCATGCCCCAGTTTCACCATCTGTCCAAACAAGGTCATAATATTTCCCTGAGAAATTAGTGCTGTGGGGCTGAAAAACCACTGGGTAAACCCAAGGAATTTTGTAATCTTAAAATGTTTAAATTTTTGCATGTTTTGTTTTCTCTGTGACTGACAGCGAATGCAGGGGGTCTTCTATCTTAGGTTCCCACATGGAAAACTGGATACACTGATACGTGTAGGAATTTATTGTCTAGAAACACACAATGTGTTCCAAAGCGTAACCAGATGGACTGTCCTGCTAAACAGTCACAGGCGTGTGACTGTGCACAATTCTTCAAAGAATACAACCTGCAGCCATCCCTCATTGTGTGCCTGCAAATCCTGTTTTCAGTGCTTTTCTGTTTCCGTTGCTCTTGGATTCCTTCACCACTGAAAAATGCTCTGGATAAAGTGATGGCCAGGCTGAGTGGGTAAGTCTGATTTTCAGCTCCTGCCAGGTAAGCCTCCAGCTCTCATTGCTTATAAAACACCCAACAGGTGAAATTGCATGCAGAAGTGAATCGGCCTCTTCACCGCCTTCATCATTATGCTTATTTCAGAGGGCTCCAGGTTGGCCAGCAGGATTTGGGTTTGTCTCATATAACATTAGGAAAAGGGATAAGTCCTGGACTATAAGCAACAAAAAATGGATCTCATTTCAATATAGCTCCTTAGTTACAAAAAAATACATGTTTAGCTTAACCTGTTTCCAAAGAACTAAGGGATAGTTAAAACAATGGTTGGTTGTTGCCAAGCCCACTCCCTGTTGTGTGAATCAGCAATATTGTCAGAAATAATCAATTTATATAGGGTACAGTGTCTCCATGATTGATCTGGTTTCCATTCCATCCTTGCTCTGGTTTCTGTACCCCAGCTGGTCGACCATCTCCTGTTTTTCAGGTAAGTTTGGTGTGGTTTTCCTATCTGTGTGATGGGTGGGTTTCGGAGGCCAAAATAGGAGTGTGCAGTGTTGGGGAACAAAGAAAAAGGCCGGGGAGTCTTGTAGCTGCTGCAGAAGCTGTGTTGGTTTAATACAGAGGTGCTGTGGTTAATAGAAAAGGCATAATCTATCATCATTATCCACTGCCTGGTGTGTGAAACTTGGTGGCAGACATCAGATCGGCAAAACTCTATGCTTTCTTGCGAGAGAACTGTGCAGAGAATCTTGTGCTTACATAGACATTAAACTGGTTGAATGCTGCTCTGGCCAACTCCATGGGGCAAGGACCATGCTCATTGTTCTTTCACTGTCCTATGATCAGCCTGAGTGAGCTGAGCAGTGCTGATGCCTGGGTCATTGTGGGTACCCAGACCTTTGGTCCCTTGCCTGTGCCCAGCCCTGCCTGCAGCTGCAGAGAGCCTGAACAAGCCACTCTGCCAGGGCATGGAGCCCACATGAGGACAGTTGGGGTGTCCCAGCACCCACACTCCCACCCCTCCAGCCCTGGGAACTCAGAGCAAGTGGAAACCACTTGTCTGCCAACGCCATATGCGATCGCAGTGAATACAAAGAGAGACTGGGTCAGGAAAACCTCAAGAAATTTATTTACAAAACAACAAACAAAAAAAAAAGCAAACAACAAAACAAACTATAGCTCTTCTTAACCCTACATTTGTTCTATGAAAACTAAAAATCTGATATGAAAAAACAACAATCTGATAAGAAAAACAACAATCTTCTACGAAAAACAACAATCTTCTAAGAAAAGCAGCAGCTCTTCAACAAAAACCTCCTTCCCTCTCCACAACACCTCTATCTCGATCAACCCTGGAAACAAGCAGCACAAGGTCGTTTCAGTGAGGCTACTGATGGTCATTGTGTTTGCCAAAGCCCTGGGACATGCTGGGAAGAGTGGGACTCTGTCGCAGGGCTCAGACCAGGCTGGGAGCCAGACTCTGTGTGATCAGGCTTGGCTCACGTGTCCCAGAAGCAGCCCCGGGCAGTGTGGTGGTGGCGCTTGTGCCACCGGGATGAGACCACTGGGCACCGTGTCCCTGCAGCCCCAGCCCCAGCGCGGCAGCAGCCGACCCACCCTGACTGCCAGCAGTGGATGGGGGGCACGTGCTGCCACGGGCCAGGACCATCTCCTGCGCTCCTTCCCTGCCTCACAAGCAGTCAGTGATCTACCTGAGCAGTGCTCATGTGCTGCAATTGGGATGCGTCCATGGGGATGGAATTCAGCCCTGCCCAGCCATCCTCCAGCTGTGCCCATCACAGTTGAGCCCGTGCCAGAACCTGCTCCCCATGCACAGCGAAGGCTGCGAGGGCAGCACAAGATGCGGTGCCAGCAGCGGGTGTCCAGGGCTGCCTGCTTCAGGAGGGCTCTGCAAGAGCTCTGCACCTTGAACTCGCGTGTCCCCGTTGCATTTGCACGCACACCTCATGCACGCGGCAGCTCCCCCTGCACCCCGCTGCCATTCTGCTGCTGGCCGCTCCCCCTCCCTGCCCGCTTGCAGGGTCCCACATGTCAGCACTGGCGGGTGACCATGGCTCCAGCTGCAGCCGCCAACACCTGGTATCCCGAAGCAGCTCCAGACCCGGACCCAATTCCCATCCTGCGGGATGGGGACCAAGGGACTCACTGGGAGGAAGGGACAGAAGGGGGTAAAAGGCTTGGTTTGGGCAGCAGCATCCAAAAGGATGCCTGGCGCAGGCTGCTCCCCACAGTGACATGAGCCTGGGCACGCTGTGATGCTGTGATTCCATGACTGATCCCTTGTACGTGGCCGTGTTTCCCCCAGCTTGAGGAGCAGCCCGAGAAGCTTTGGTCAGCGCTGGCACAGGCTGTGCCCGATGGCAGGACCAAACCAGGTGCCCTGAAACCACTGAGGGGTTGGGGTGAGCGCCCAGACCTTTGGTCCCTCGCCCATGCCCATTCCTCCCCACAGCTGCAGAGAGCCTGAAAGAGCCGCTCTGCCAGGGCAGGGAGCCCACGTGAGGACACTTGGGGTGCCCCAGCACCCAGCGCCAGCCCCCATGGCCCCTCCAGCCCTGGGAGCTCAGAGCAACTGGAAACCACTTGTCTGCCAAAGCCACGTGTGATCGCAGTGAATACAAAGAGACTGGGTAAGAAGAACGTCAAGAAATTTATTTACAAAACAAAAAATAAAATAAACGACAAAGAACAACCGTTCTTCTCAAAAATACAACTCTTCTACCTATAGCTACAACTATTCTACCTAAAAGAACAACGCTTATTCCTAAAACTACACCTATTCTACCTAAACCTACAACTCCTACTGAAAAACGAACAATCTTCTTTAAACCGAACAATCTTCAATGAAAACTGGAACTCTTCTAAACAAATCTTCAAACGCCGTTAAAACATAACTCCACCAGCCCTGGAAACAGGCAGCACAAGCTCATTTCAGTGAGGCTACTGATGGTCACTGTGTTTGCCACACGCTGGGGAGAGCGGGACTCTGCCGCGGGGCTCAGCCCTGGTTGGGGCTGGGAGCTGGGCTCTACGCGATCACACTGGGCTCGCGTGTCCCAAGGGCAGTGCGGTGGTGGCACTTGTGCCGCCAGGGTGAGGCCACCGGGCACCGTGTCCGTGCAGTGGAGCGGGCACACACAGCCCCAGTGTGGCAGCAGCCAGCCCACTCTGACTGCCAGCAGTGGATGGGGGGCACGTGCTGCCTTACCCCTCACCAGCTGGTATACATCACCTCATCCTCCTCCACATCCACATCCATCGGTTCCTCGCGCAGCCCCAGCTGGGTCCTGCTGGTGGCCTCTTCCTCCAGCTCCCGCATGCGTTGGGAAAGTGTAAGGCAAATGCCAGGCAGAAGAGTGCATTGGTGCTGTCCAGAGCTGCGGAGCGCAGCTGTGGGGCAGGGCTCTGGGCACCCCGGTCTCCTCTCGCTGCCCGGGCAGAGCCGTGGGGCGCTGGGGCCCCAGGCACGTCCGCAGGAGGAGCTGTCAGGAGGCCGGGGGCTCCTTGTCCAGCAGCACCTACCAGCCCTGCCACTTGTCCAGCAGCACCCACCAGCTCTGCCAGGCTGGCGCGTTCAGCCGGAGGATCCTCTGCCTTCTCTTCAGCGCCTTGCGGGGCGGTAACGGCTTCAGGGCCTGCCAGAGCAGCAAGGGCAGGGGTGAGCGGCCGTGCTCCCTGCCTGCGGGCCAGGGCACAGACCCGGCCCCACGCCTGCCTCGGCACCCACCGGCTCCTTACTCTGCAGGCAGCCTTTTGCCTCCTCGCCTCCGCAAGGGCTGAGCTCGGCCACCAGCAGGACGAAGGTGTTCTTCCTGGAGGGCTCCATTTTGTGGTTCCAACATGGGATCAAAGGGTAAAGGGAACAAGAGTGTAGGGCTGGGAACAAGGGCATAGGTCTGGGAGCACTCGGGAAGGGTTGGGCAGAAGGGATTGGTGTAAACAAGTGGGAATAGAGGAAAAGTGTGCGTTCATGGGAGACACTCTGAGTTGTTCTGTGGGCACGGGCGGTTGCTGGTGTAACGCGGCTGCAACATCACAGCAGCCCTCTGGAACTGCTGCACAGCAGGGAATGGGGATGAGCCTGAAGGGGCTGCAGCTTCACTGGGGACATTGGGCAATTGTTACATTGCCCCCTGCAACCACAAAGACACGCTTTGGTGCTTAAATAGGCAGTAAAATGGATGAAATCTGGGCTGCCAAGTCCATGGGCTGCCACTGTCCTGCAAGCACTCAGTGAGCGAGCTGAGCAGTGCCGATGTGCAGCACTTGCAATGCGTTCATGGGGTGGAATTCAGCCCTGCCCGGCCTCAGGATGCCAGTGGCAGCAGGAGACGGCTGTGTGGGCACATCCTTCAGCCAGGCACGTCAGGGGTGAGCCATTTGAGAACCTGTGCCTCACGCAGCCCAGCTCCTGCCAGCCTCTCCCACCTCCCCCTTGCCGCAGGCCTCACAACCTCAGCATTTTTGCTGTGCCAGCAGTCCTGCCCTTCAGTTCAGTAGCTGTGGCCTTCCCTAAAATGATGAATAACAATGATTTAAGCCTCTCTACATTAGTTCAATGAGGTGATGTTGACAGGGGGAGATGGTCCCCAGGGGGTAAGCAGGGATAGGGAGGACGAGGCGAGTGCTGGGTGGCGGCTCATCCTTCCCTGTGAAGCTCCCTTAGCAG